TTTTTTTTTTTTTTTTTTTTTTTTTTTTTGATAAAAATACTTTATTTGCATATTTAAAGAAAGAGTAAAATTCTTCTTCATAATTTTTTTTTTTTTCTTTAAAATATTCTTCTAATTTATTTAATTCATGCATACAATTATTTTTATTAATTTCTTTTTTTGTAGATATGTAGGATATTTCTTCTTCTGTTAATGAATAACCTTTTAAGTATAAAAAAAAAAGAATTTCATTAATACATAAATTTTCATCATTTTCATTTCCCAATTTAAAATTCTTAATTTTTAAAAATAAACTTTCACTTTCATTTTTATTATCCAAATCATTATTATCTTTAATATTTGAAATGTCTTCTTTTCTTATTTTTATTTCTTCTATCGTATTAGTTTCATTATCATATTTATTTTCCTTATGTCTTTTTAATAAATCTTGCTGATATTCTTCTTCTTTTCTTTCATTGTCAGTTATTGATATAATAACATTTGAATTATTTGAATTATTTGAATCATTTGAATCATTTGAATCATTTTCATCGTTTTTAAATGAAGTGAAATTATCTTGAGAAAACTTTCTTTCAATTAAATGTTCAAAATTATGTGATTTATTATCATCAGTTTGATCAGACAGTTCATTATTCTCACTACAACTACTTTCTATTTGATTTATTATATAATTATCATCATAATCACTGTCAACATATTGATAATAACAACAATCAAATAAATTAATTTTTCTTATAATTTTTTTTTTCTTTTTTAATTTAAAATAAGTTCTTTTGAGAATATTTCTTGACTTAAGTAATTCTGAATCTAAAATAGTTACTCTGTAATCTTTTTTATTAATTTTTTCAGTTTGATATTTGATAGAATAAATATATAAATCATCTTTAAAATTATATTTTTTGTATTCATTTAAGCAATTTATTATACATTCTCCAATATAACTACATACAATAAAAATTATATTTTTTTCTTTTTCTTGTAATAATATTTTTTTAAAAATCTATAAAAGTAAAATTTAAACCACCCCCAATCACCCCAAAAAAAAAAAAAAAGATATATATATATATATAAATTATAAAAAGAAAAATTACAACTATATATATAATTATATTAATTACTTTTTTTACTCTAAGAAATGTTTCTATAATATATTCATTTTCCTTTACAATTTTTAAAGTCTTACTATTGTTATCAATAAATGCTGCACTATTTAAAAAATTAATACTTAACTCTTTATCATTAAAAACACTTTTATTGTTATCAAGTCTTTTTTCAACTTTTGTTAAAATATTTGTTTTTTCAAAAATATATTTGGAAGTTAATATATTTATTAATTCACTACTGGAGTAAATAACATAATCTAAATAATTAATAAAAAAAAAAAAAAAGAAAAGCATAAAATTTTACTTTTGATAAATAGACATTTTTTTTTTAAATTAAAAAAAAAAAAAAAAAAAAAAAAAAAACCATCAAAATTTCTCTTTACAAATGAAGTTATTTCTTCAATTAAACATATCCCATATTCTGTTAAAACATATTTTTTTATATCTTTTTTTATATTTCCTATTTCAAAATAACAAAAAATAAAAGAAAATAAAGTTAAAAAAATAAAACTTTTACATGAAGAAATTAAAAGGATTTCTTAATGAAAATTTTAACCATGAATTATAAGTAATATTTTTTTAGTAAAGATATTCATTTGTCTATAACGTTATTAAGGATGTGAAATGTTTCAAAAAATATAAATTTAATTTATATTTAAATATAGAAGTTAAATTATTTAACTTATTTTTATTTTTATTCCTAATTTTAATATCTTTGTAATTTTTTAATATATACTTCAAACTTAGATATCATATAAAATTATTTTTTTTTAAATAATATCATTATTTTAGTTTCTTTTTAAATATTATAATTTATTTTGTATTTAAGACTTAAAAATTATTTATTTGTTATTTTTTTTTTTTTTTTTTTTTTTTTTTTTTCTTCTAATATAATTTAACAGTTATTTCCATTTCAAGGGAATTCTTATTTATATAAAATAGATGATTTTAAAATATTTCACAAATCAAAAATATCCATAGTAAAATAATATAAATTCTATTTAATTTATTTTACTAAATATATAAGAACATTCCTTATTATATGCAAATATTCTCATTCAAAATGAAATTTAGAAATCAAAGAAATTTTTTTATTTTTATTATGTGCAATTTTATTCTTTTTTTTTTTTCCTTTTTTTCCGAAAAATTGTACTCATAACATATTTTCTGTAGCATAATTGTTTTTTTTTTTAAAAGTAATATTAATAATATATTTTATTTTGTTTTATCTTAATTTCTTTTACTTTTTTTTTATTTTAATTTTTTTTTTTCTTATTAAACTTATCCTAAAAGTCATAAATGTATTTTTTCAATTTCAAAAAATAAATAGAATATTCAATAGGTTATATTACATCTTTTTTTGTCAAATATATTTAATTTTTTTTTTTTTTTTTTTCCTTAAAATGTTTAAAAAAAAAATTACACATATAAAAAAAAAAAAAAAAAAAAGATATAAGAATAAATATTCACAAAATAATTTTTAATAAATAGCTTTTTTAAAAATTTTATGATAATCATTATCTTTTTTTTTCTTCCTTTTAAATAAGACTAAGAGTCAAAAATAATAAAAATTTTCAGTGTTGTAAAAAATGAGCATTAGTAATTCTCATTCAAAAAATTTAGGAAAATGTAAAAATATTTTTATATATAATAAAATGATTGAAGAATTAGTTGAAAAAATTATTCTCTTAGCAAATAATTTGTCTTTATTTAGAAAAAAATATAAAAAATATGTTAAAAAAAAAAAAAAAAAAAACAAAATACAGAAAGAAAAAGAAAAAGAAAAAGAAGTGAAACCTAATGAGAAAAATTTATACCTCTTAAATGAATCTAATGATTTTTTTTTAAATTCTAGTTTTTTCAAAACATTCAAGGAATATGAGGAATTAGTGGATAAATTAATTCATTTATGTAATAATCATACTGATATATATATTGAATTTCTATATATTTTATTAATTAATAGTAAACTTTTTAACAATTTTCTTTTTATTTGTACATTTACAAGTGGTGATAAAAATGATACTTTTCTTTTTCTAATTTATAAAAATTTCTTAATTTTAACTGAATATTATTATTATTTCAATAATTTTTCTTACTTTAATGATTTATATTATAAATTAAAAAATATATATATTAAAAAAAATAATAATAAAAAGAACATATTAAATTTAAGGCAGAAAAACATTAGGTTCTCCTTTTTAGATAAAGATAAAAATAACCTATTATACAATACAAATGAAATAAATGGTAATTTAAAAAAAAAAAATTCATAATAAAAATAAAAATTATACTTAAGTATTCTTCATAAAAATTTTAACATATTTCACTTATTTTCAATATAATTTTAATTTCGATTTTTTTTTTTTTTTTTTTTTTTTTTTTGGTNAAAAAAAAAAATTCATAATAAAAATAAAAATTATACTTAAGTATTCTTCATAAAAATTTTAACATATTTCACTTATTTTCAATATAATTTTAATTTCGATTTTTTTTTTTTTTTTTTTTTTTTTTTTTTGTATATGTGTATATATGTGTGTAAATATTTATATAGATATTAGATTATTTAAGAATAAAAGCATAACCTGTTTATATAATTATTCAAGTCATGATAGTGACTTCTTAAATATAGAATATAATAGAAGATATATGCGTAAAAAAACTAATGAAGAAAAAGAAAAATATGATGAAAAAAAAAATAATCATGTAGAAAATAACAACAAATATCTTTTTACAAACTCAGATAAATCAACCTGTAAAAGTAACATAAACTTATCTAATGAAAGTTCTAATAAATGTAATATATATCATATAAAAAAAAAAGAACATATAATAAAAAAAGACAAATTAAAAATAATTCTAAATAAAACCTTTTCTAATTTTTCAGATAATCAAACAAATTTTAAAAATTTAAATAAAAAAATTTATACAAAAAATGGAAATAATTCATATGATTCTACTGATAATAAAAATGCGTATTTTAATCAAAAATTATTATCACATAAAAATTTTAATATAAAAATATTTTATCAATTAAAAAATATGATTAAAACATTCAAAAAATTAAAATATGAACATTTATACATATTATTGTATTTTTCTCTATGTATACTACCATCTCTTTTTCATATATATCTAACACGAATAATGCGTAATCAAAAAAATTATTTTAATATTAGCCATTATTTGATATATTTATCAAAAAAAATAAAATTTTGCACATTAATTTATCTAAAACGTGATAACAATGTGCCAAAAGAAAAAGAAATATATTCATTAAAAAGTGATGAAAAAATAACATTCGAAAAAAAAGGAAAAAATAATCAAATAGATTTTACACATATACTTGATGATTTTCAAACAAAATATATCAATAAAGAATGCCTTTCTAAAGGAAAAAAAAGATATAATGGAATAAATAACAATGAAGCTATTTTAAATATGCAAAAAAATAAAGATCCATTCATAGAAGAATATAAGAATAATTATTATGAAATAGAAAAGAAAAATGATTTGTTAAATGAAAGTAATGAAGAACTATGGCAATTTATTAATAATTTTAAAATTAAAGATAAATTTGATAAACTTATGAGTGTAAATAATTCAAACAAAGATTATACATTAAGTGCAAAAAAGAAATTAAGTCTTTTACATATGTTTCAAATTGAAAATGATTTTAAAGAATTAAATTTCAAAATTATGAAGAACAAAAGTGAAGAAAATTTATTAGAATCAAATATTTTAAATGTGCCTTTAAATATTTCAGATATTTTAAAAGAAAAAAAGATATATAATAATAATATTCAGAAAATAAAAAAGGAAAAATTAAATGAAAGAAAGAAAAAAGAAACAATAAATGATGTCAAAGAGGATTTTATAAAGTTGTTAGAAAATAATTTGAAAATAGAGAAAATTTATTTATATTATAAAAAAATAAATGAAAATGAATTATTAAATTATGTAGGTTTTCATAATTTAATTAAAAGTGTAAGTATTATATGCAATGATGAATTTTGTTCTTTTTATATGAATAATATAGATATAAAAAATTCAGTTGAAAAAAATCATAGTACCCTAAACATTGTTGAAAATACATATAAAATAAACAAAAAAAAGGAAGAATCAGATATAATAGATAGCATTCATATTTCAAGTTTAAATATAGATAGTGCATTAATACATAATGAATATATTAAAAAAAAAATTAAAAAAAATAAATTATATACCTATAAACTATTTAATAACCAAATTGAGACATTATTAAATTCAAGAGAATTGATTGAATTTATAAAGAAACAAAAAGAAGCTAAAAGAAAAAAAGAAAATTTTCAAAAAGACAAAAAAAAAGATAATTTTATTTATTCTCAATACCAGTATAATAACAATTTATTAAATAATGAAAAAAAAAAATATGATGATATATTTAAATTTATTGAAAACAAAAATAATAAATCAGATATATTAGAAAGTGATTATCAATCATATAAAAATAGTGAATCTAGTGATAATTTAACACTATGTAATTATACAAAAAATTATTATTCTAAAAATAATTTTAATATAGATTATTTTGTTTTTTTCATTGTTAATACATTTTATATATTTCTTCATCTTCATAATATTTATTTTTCTTCAACTTATTTGAATATTTTTTTATCTTTTTCTATAAAATTAGTTTATAAATATAGTAACAAATTTGAAAATTTGAAATTATTATTTTATAAAGGAAAATTTTTGAATAAACACACTTTTGATAAAATTGGTTATATACAGAATGAAATAGGTATGTATATTAATATATATAAACATATATATATATATATATATATATATATATAAACCTAATTTATTATGTATATATAAAAATATTATACGTATCTCATTTATAAAATTTTTTTTTTTTTTTTTGATTTGATCAGATTTATCAAAAACAAATGAAGATAATTTAGACAAAAATATATTAGAAACATCTTTAAAACAAAAAAATATAAGAGAAGAAAAGAGTATCATGAGGTTTATAAAAAAAAGTTCAAACTTTAAAATAAAAAAAAGTTATAATAGTGGAAAAAATGAAAATTATAATATTGAGAATTCAACATATAATGATTTAGGAGATGAAAAGATAAAAGAGTTAGGAGAATTATTATTAAAAAAAAAAAAATTTAAAAATAAAAAAAAAATAGAAAATAATATATTTTTCAATAAAAATAATAATGATTTCTTACCAAATACATTTGACTTAATCATTAATACTTTTTTTGACTTATGTATTTCTTTGTGTAGTATTGATTTTAAATATATTAGTTGTAAAAAAAAAAAATTTAATAGAACTTATTTTTGTGACAACATTTTTTTTTATCATCATTTAATAAACAAAAGATATAGTAATGATTCTATGGATAAATTTAATATCTCCAATTATAATAACTCAGTTGAATCCTACTTATTTTATTTTGATGAATTAAGAAATGAAGAAACTTTTACAAGAAAATTTGCAGAAAACAACTATTTTTATAATTATTATAAAGATAATAATAATATGAAAAATAATAACAATAGAAAAAAAAAAAAAAATCTTTTGAATAATCATAAATATATAGAAAGTTTATCTGAACAAAATAATAACCTATCATCAAATAGCTCTTATTTATTTAACGAAGATTATATAAAAAAAAATATTTTTTGTAAAAAAAAAAAAAAAAAAAAAGACACAGAATCAAAGTATGTTGAAGAACTTTTAGGTTTAAAATTTAATGACACTAAAAAGAAACTGTTTAGTAAAACTGTTTTAGAAAATAAGAATGAAAAAATTAGAAAATCGTGTTCTAATCCTACCATTGCTAATATTATTAATGAAGGTTGTAATTATGAAAAAGGAAATTATTTAGAGAATAAAGGTTGTTCTAATTTTATTAAAGATTTAGAACTCTCCAGTAGTAGTGATAAAAGTTTTTTATTTTTAAAAAAAATGAAAAAAAAAATAAAAAATAGAATTTATTTAGATGAAAATAATATAATTAATATTTTAATAAATATTGGTTGCATATTTATGAATAATATAAAATATAATAACGGAATTTTATTAAAATATTTATATAAAATGAATGAATATGATATCTTAAATGATCGAAAACAATTTTATAATTATATGGAAGAAATTTTTTGTCGTAAGGACTTTTTTTTTTCAAATATTTACAATCAATATTTTCTTTCTTTTTTTTTTTTCTTTAAAATACATTATATCTTTTTTTTAATTAAGTATAAATGTGAGAACGAAATTTATTTAAAAGCTTATTGGTTTCTGTATGCTGTTTATAATATTACTCAAAGTTGAAAAATATAAAAAAAAGGGGGGTGGTGGTGGAAAAAATAACAAAAACAAAAGTGTAAAATAAATATAATTTTTCTACTTATTTTATTGTTTTTTTTCTTGTCCTATATTTTTAATATTTTTTAATTTAACATTATTTTGTTATTTATATATCATAAAAATTATCTCTTTTAACTTTTTTTTCTTTTTTCTTATAAAATATTTATTTTAATAACTCTATTGTTTCATTATATTCTTATTCCCAAAACATTTCTTTTTTTTTTTTTTTATAATCTTATTGTTCCTAAATATAAATATGCTTATTTACTTTTTTTTTTTTTTTTTTTTTTTTTTTTTTTTTTTTTTTTTTTCTAATTTTAATAACATTATTATAGATTATATACTTTTTTGTTATTTTTAAAAGGTATTAATTAAATAATTCAATCATATTTTTATATAAATTTTATATTTCAAAAATATATTATAAAATTTATTAATTTATTCAATTATTTTACTTTGTTAATGTTATAATTTTTGTTTAAATTAAAAAAATGTTTACCAACAATCTTTTATTTCATTTTATTTTATTTTATTTTTTTATTTTTTTTTTTTCAATAAAATTAAATACTCTGTTTTTTTTATATAATAAAAATAGTTTATAATATGAAAAGGTAATTTTTGTATAAATAAAGGAAAAAATGTAATGTATATATAATAACATTAATAAATACAAGTAACAATAATACATCTAATAGTAGCAGTAATTATAATTCTACTAATAATGACGATGATAAATGTGTACCATGTATAAAAAAACAATGTTTTTAAATTGTAAAAATGAATTTTTTATTCCGTCTTTTTTTCTTCTTTTATTTTCTATTTTTTAACATAATTTTATCAAAAAGTATTAGAAATACAATTTTATATTTACACAGTCAAAAAAAGTTTTGCTCTAATAAATGTAAGAAAAAATATTATTCTCTCAATAACAATGAAAAAAAAGAAAATAAATTAGAAAATGATAGTTTTCAAGTTAATAAATTTGAAAAAGAAGAAATAAAAATTCATAAAAATCTAAATGTAAATATTTTTAGAAGTGAAAATGAATCATCTGCTTATGATCAAAGCTTATGCATTTATAATTTACTGAAAGATATAGAAATCAAAGATGTTAAAAAAACACCTTCATTTAATGAAAATTTAGCAAATGTAACAATAGAAAAAAACAATAACACAATTAAATTACATCAAAATAAGGATAAAAACTATTTAGAGAATTCTTTAATATATAAAAATACAAATTATAATTTACCTTATATGTTAAATTATTATCCTGATGATATGTTCATATTTAATTTTGATGGAGTTATAAATTTAAATAAACAAGAAAAAATTGTTGTAGCATTTTTAACATTTCTAAAAATTTTTAATCAAGAGTTTTTATTTAATAACAAAAAAATTATTAATTTGCCATTATACGATTTTATAAAACAAAGAAATTATTTAATGAATAAGAATAGTACTACTACTACTACTACTACTACTACTACTACTACTAATAATAATAATAATAATAATAGTAATAATAATAATAATAATAGTACTACTACTTCTAATAATAATAATAATAGTACTACTACTTCTAATAATAATAATAATAGTAGTACTACTTCTATTACTACTACTAATAATAATAATAATAATAATAATGATACATTTATTTTACTAAAACTTATACCTAAATTTATTTATACAAGATTATTATATATATATAAATATATAAAAAATAATGAAGACATTGTAATAGCAATAAAATACATATATGATGAAATAAATGATATATGTATAAAATATAATTATGATATTAATGAATTGATGAATATTTGCAATGAGAAAAATGTTTTAGCTAAAAAGTTAAAAAAAATTAGTGAAAACAAAAATTTCAATAAAAAGTGTACATCTGAAAATAATAAATTAAACAATGATAACATAAACAATAATGGAAGTATTTATAATAATGAAAATTCTAACAATGGTGACAATGTAGATAAAATAGATATATATGAAGTAACAAAAGAACTAACTGAAGGTACTTTTAATCCATATATAATTAATAAATATAAAGATATAGAAAATTTTCCAAATGTATTTCCAAGTTTTAGGGTTGATTTTGAAGATTTTTACATGAATAATACATATTTAAAATTATATGAAAAATATAAAGTAAATATGAATGATATAAAAAACGAATTTAACAATATTCGTAATCTATTAATTAAAAATGATAAAGAGTCTTATGAGAACTTGATGAAATATAGATATGTATGCAATAATTTAGATGAAGAAGAAAGAAAAAATCATGAAACATTTAATTTTTGTTGTATTGATATAATTAATAATAACATAAACATTTTTAAAAAACCTATTTATATCATATCTACTATAGAAAATACCAGCTTTATTAAATATACATTACAATTGTTTGGATTAAATATTTTAAAAAAGGAAGATGAGCATTTATTACGTATTTTTGGTGATGATATAATATATTCAAAGGAAGAAGAAAATAATGAAAACACTATCCTTTTTAACTTAAAAAATTTTATAAAAAAGAAGTATTTTACTGAAAAATCAAAAGAACAAAAAGATGATTATATATATGATTCATATAATTTAGATATAAATTATTTAAAATATTTTAAAAAAACAAAAAAGAAAGATTATTATTTTAATAAAAATTTACATTATATGAATATGCTTAAAAAAAAATGTGATTTAATTAATTTAATTATAGAAAAATATCATGAAGATAATTCTATTCATATAATAGATCATAAATATGATGATCTAAATGCACTTAATAATGATAGTAGATTTAATCAAAAAATAAGGTTATACTTTTGTGAATGGGGATACAATACATATGAAGAAAAATTAAAAGCAATTTTTAATGATAAAATAAAAACGTTTTCTCAAACTTTTAAACTTTTGTTTTTATGTTGCACCTTTCAAAATTCACCAAGAAGAGAACATACACACGGTAAAGGAATTACTCAAGACTTTTATTCAAAATTTATGTATAAATATTGTTTAAAAAATAATATAATTTCTCACACAGATAAATTTAATAATCTAACATAGTTTTTTTTTTAAATGTAAAATTTTTATAGATATTTTCTTTTAGTTACATAAATATATATGTAAAAAGAATTGTTTTATTATAAAAATATCAGATTATAGTATTTAAATATATAAATTTATGAATTTTTATTAAATCTATATTTTATTTAAATAAGTAAAAAGAGTTTTATTTATATATGCATATGTTTTTTTTTTTTTTTTCTTTTCTTTTTAAAAATCATTTATATTTATACTAATTTTGATTGTCTTTGTAATCTATATTAATGCTTACATACTTTATTTTATATCATTATCACTCATATTTGTATTCATAAATTATAATATATTTTTTTAAAATTACATTATAATTAGAAAAAAAGATATAGAAATTTTTATAGAAATGATACTACTTAAACTATGAACTGTACATATATATATATATACATTTATTTATTTATTTATTATTTTATTTAAGACATGAATTAATAACATTTACTTTGATAATATATTAAGATATTACATTTTTTTTTTTTTTTTTTGTTTTATTTATAAAAAAAAAATATATTTTAATTACTTAAGTTTTACTATACTAAAAAAGTTTTTCTACTTTTATGTCATTGCATAAGTGTTATAAAGGCAAACAAAATTTTATAATTTCTATTTTTTTTTTTTTTTTAAAATATGAATAATGTAAAATATATAATATTATATAATAATTTTTGAGAAGAATGTTACTTATAATTTCTCAATAAAATAAGGCTAAACTAAAATAATATAAAACTATTTTTACAGATTTAACTTTTAAATAAATGCATAGAATAATTTATTTAAAAATTTATTAAAAATAATAATATAAAACAAATATGCAATTTGTAATATAATTAAAAAAAAATATATATAATTCTTTATTATATATGTATTATATATCATATATATGTAATATAAAAAATACATGTGTGATATATATGAAATATAAATGTGATACATAAATTATAGATAAAATAAATAAAATATGTAATATATATAATATATATAATATTTATATAATATACAAAACATAAATATAATATATAAAATATATATGTATGTAAACAAATTATAAGATATTTAAAAAAAAAAAAAAAAAAAAAAAAAAAAAAAAAAAGGTTCACATAATTTAAAAGTGAAAAAAATTTCAAGTTGATTTTAAAAAAAAAAAAAAAAAAAAAAGAAAAAAAAGAAAAAGCTATTCTTAATAATAATAAATTTAATAAAAATATATTATATATATAAGATTTTCATCTTATAAATAAATTAAAATTTTTTTTATATGTATTCTATAATTTTCTATTTTATTATTATATATTAGTGTGTGAATCAGAGTTTATTAGTATATTTCTGCGCGTGCATATTATATTCTTTTTTTAAATCAAAAGCATCAACTAAAAATTCATCTAATTGATATAAATGTAAATTAAGATCACCTGCTGATTGTGCAGCATATACATCCCTACCTGAATAATTAACTTCTGATCTTTCAATATTCCAATTTGGATTATCTTTTTTTAGTTGTTTTATTGCTGCTTCAATACGACGAGAAACATAAAACCATGGACCCATATTCATATGTTCTTCTTGAGCCCATATAACATCCCTTAAATTAGGATATGTTTGCAAATCTTTCATGAAACTTTTGAATGGGAATGGAGATAATTGTTCTATTCTTGCGATAGCAACATCTTGAATTCTATTTGTATCTCTATAATTTAATAAATCATAATAAACTTGTCCTGAACATAAAATAATTCTCTTAATATGCTCCTTTTCTTTTAATTTATGTTCCATTTCTTCTGGTAAATATGGTAAAAATTCCGTAGATGTCAAAAAATTTTCTATAGTATCAAATGCCATTCTCATTTTTAACATCCTTTTTGGAGTAATAGCAACTAACGGTTTTCTAAAAGATCTATGCATTTGCCTTCTTAAAGCATGAAAAAAATTAGATGGCTTTGTGCAGTTAATTACTTGCATATTATGTTGTTGAATAATTTTTTGATCTTTTTCTACAGAATATGTAGCTATATCTTCTCTATCATCACATAATTGTAAAAAGCGTTCAACTCGTGCAGAAGAATGTTCTGGTCCTTGTCCGTCATATCCATGTGGTAATAACATAACAATTCCTGACTGTTTATTCCATTTAGTTTCTCCTGATGCAATATAATTGTCAATCATAACTTGTGCTCCGTTTGCAAAATCTCCAAACTGCGCTTCCCATATAACTAAAGCATCTGGATGTTCATAACTATAACCTATTTCGTAACCTAAACATGCATATTCTGAAAGTAAGGAATTATTTACTTCAATAGTATGAGGTGTTTTTAGTGAATCAAATATATTGTATGATTCATATGTAACTTGGTCATGTATTACTGCATGTCTATGAGAAAAAGTTCCTCTCTGAGAATCCTGTCCAGTCAAGCGAGCATGGAAACCATCTGAAAGCAACGTTGCATATGCTAAAAGTTCTGCTGTACCAAAGTCAATATTTTTACCAGTTTCTAAACTACTAATACGACTTTTAAACAATTTTGTTATAATGGGATGAGCATGAAAATTTTTACGTAATGTAAAGATCTGTTTTCCAATATTAACTAAAACGTCTCTTTCAACACCCGTTTTTCTAGATGGTGAAAATTTTTGAGGTGTTACCATATGCTCCCATTGTGGCAAATATTTTTCTTTTGGTGTTGGAACAAAAGATTTAGATTGCTCATATACTTCTTCATAAAAGTTAAAAATTTGTCTTTTATTTTCTTCAAACTCCTCCGCAGTTATTACTTTTTCATCAATTAACTTCTGACTATAAATATCTAATACAGATTTATGTCTTGCAATGATATCGTATAACAATGGATTCGTAAACTTAGGCATATCCAACTCATTATGCCCAAATCTTCTATACCCAATAAGATCAATTATGGTGTCAATGTGAAATTTATTTCTTATATCAAAAGCTAATTCAAAAACATATGTAACTGCTTCAGGATCATCTGCATTAACATGTATGATAGGAGCTTCTATACATTTTGCAATATCAGTGCAATACTTACCAGATCTTCCATCAACTGGATAAGTAGTAAAACCAATTTGATTATTAACAACAATATGTATAGTTCCTCCAACATTATAACTTGGTAATTTTGACATTTGGAAAGTTTCATAAGCAATACCTTGTCCTGCTATAGAAGCATCTCCATGAATAGTAATTGGTAGTACTTTTTTTTTTTCCTTATCATTACAATAATATTGTTGTGCTCTTGCTTGTCCTAGTAAAATAGGATCCACAGATTCTAAGTGAGAAGAATTATCTACAACACCCATATGAATATATCTATTAGAATCCTTATCAAAATGATCAATTTCTACACCTAAATGATATTTTACATCACCTGTATTCCCCCAAATATTGTCACTAAAACCGGTTTTCCCCCTAAATTCTGACATCATTTGTTCCAAAGGTTTATGTAAAACATTAAATAATACGTTTAATCTTCCTCTATGAGACATACCCACTAATACACTGTCAACATTCAACAAAGATGCGCGTTTTACTAATGCTTTCATTCCTGTTATCAATGATTCACATCCATCTACTCCAAATCTTTTAGTTGTTGCAAATTTTGCTGCCATATAATTTTCAAATAAAAACGCTCTTGCTGTGTATTCTAATATTCTTTTTTTCATCTCTACATCATATTGAAATTTAGTATCGTTTTCAATCCTTTTTACAATATAATTTACTATGTTTTCATCTGTTATATGCATATACTCAAATCCAATAGTTCCACAATAAGTTTCTTCCAGTCTGTTTATTAAACTTCTTAAAGTCCATTTTTTTTTATCTCCACTTAAAAAACCTGTAATTGATGGCAAATCAAAAACAAATTCCTTATCTAAATCATCTTTTGTAAACCCAAAATCTTCGTAAGACATTTTTCTTTTATCAGGTGTATATGATACGCTGGTATAAGGAGGATTTTTCGGAAGTGGTAAAGGATTTATATTAGCATATAAATGCCCTTTTTTCTGATACCATCTTATGAGTTGAACAATTCGTGCTAAATCATATATATTCTGTGTTTTACCCTTTTCTAACATTTCTTGATTTACATATGTGATTCTAAGAGTGTTCTTTTTTAATATTTCGTCCATTATTTTATTATTTCTTTCATCACCTACATTCACTACTCTCACTTTATTTGACGAATCATTTCCTGCATATTCTGTTGTCATAGAAAAATAAGAATCCCATGATTTGTGCAAAGAATTTCTAAAAACATAAAAAAGTTAAAATACAAATTTATATTTTCATATATATATATATATATATATATATATATATATATATATATATAACATAAGAAAAAAATGATAAATAAATATATAAATAGGAAAGTTACTAAAAAATAACAAATAAATCAATATAATTTATAATGAATCCTTACTTGTCTTTTCTCCATATCTTATAAGCACTTTCTATATATGCAGCCATACTAGGGTTAATATTATCATTGTAATAACAACTACTCAAATGAAATAATCTTTTAGTATAATTCGCTTTTTTCCTTACTAAATTATTCTGAAGTAACATTTTTCTCATTTTTTAAATATGTACTTGATTTTTATTTATTTAAAAGTAGTTAAAAAAAATTAAGTTATTATATTACTACGCAGTTATGTACACATATAAATACATATATTTGTATATATACTATATAATCATATATATACTTCCATATTAAAAATCGATTATTTTATTCATTTTTCTATATAATTTAACTGTAATTTAAAGAGTAAAAAAAAAAAAAAAAGAACATGAATACATTTTTTTCTTTTTTTTATTTTTAAATTAGTCTAAAATGAATTTAATTTGCATAGTTATATCAAATTTTTTCTCTATTTATAGTTAGATATATATGCAGGAGAAAAAAAATATATTTATTAAAACAAATAAAAAAAAAATATTATAAAGAAATATTTTTTAGTATCTATCTATTTTTATATATATATGTAAGTATTAATGTATATATTTATGTATGTATTTATGTATATAATTTTATATGTAAACATATAAATACTATGTTTAAAATATTTATATTTCAAGAACATTAAAAAATTAATATTATAATTAAAAATAAAAGAATAAAAAAATATGTATTTTTGTTTCACATTTTAAAAAGAAATATTTAAGCTAAAAAAAAAAAAAAAAAAAAAAAATTCATGTTTTTAAATGAAAAGTATTTTTATTTAAAGTATTTTTTTTTAATTTTGTAAACATATTAACCATTAATTTAAATAATATATACAAGAAAAAAGATATGCTTATAAATGCATTTAAAAGCAAAAAAAAAAAAAAAAAATAAAATAAAATAAAAATTTAAAAATACATGTATATTTTATAATAATTTGAATTATAACGTGATAAAAAGTAATAATATATTCAAGAAGCATTAATAAACCCTTAAAAAAAAATATATTTCATAAATAGATATTAAATTTTAAAAAAAAATATATTTAAAGAAGTTAAAAAAGAAAAAAAAAGAAAAAAGAAGAAATAAAATAAAAAATATACACATATTTATTCAATGATTTATATCAATTCAAATAGTTAAGAAATGGAATATATAATAAAACTTAAAATATGTGTAGAAAAAAATATACATGAAAATGGTGTATTTTAAATAAAATAAAATATAGTTATTACTAATATACCTAAAAAATTAAGAATACAAAAAAAAAAAAAAAAAAAAAAAAAATATAAAAAAAAAAATTTTAATATATCATTTATTAAGTTAAAATTAATTAAAAATATTTTTTAAATGAACGAAAAATAAATATGAGAAAATGTAGATATGTAAAATATATTTTATTAAAAGGATAATAAAATTTGTTTTTTGAATATTGATATATATATAGACATTATATTTAATCGAGTATTTATTTAAAATTTCTTTTTATTTAAATTTATACAGTTAAATATAACAATTTTAAGTAAGAATATATATATTCATATTTTTGTTTTTTCTTCTCTCAAAGCTATATTGGCTTTACATTCTCACCATCCCAAATAATAATTTTTCTCCAATTTGTTAACAAAATCATTTTAAGAAACAAATGAAAAATAATAGAAAAATGAAATATTCTGATAGTATAATAATGGGGTATTAGTTTTAATTTTTTACATCTTACAGATGCAGACTGTATTTGAGAACATCTTACACATTGAGGATATAAGCGTTGTTTTGTATCATATAATTTAAACAATTTAAGAAAATATAATTTGAATTTTTTATCTTTATAATATTCAATCATATCTTTAATAACTTGTATTGGAGGTTGATGATCTCCAATGAATTTTTCATGACAAACTACTCCACATGTATGACATCCAGTATGTTTACAAAAATTCCTTAATATATCAATTTCTTTTTTGGTTGCATATTTCATATCCTTTTCAAGACTTTTTTTTGTATCAGAATATACACCAGGCATTTTTACATCACTTGGGGAAAACTTATTATATCTAAAAAAATAAAAGAAATATATGATTTATTAAAATTTATTCAAATGTAATTTATTATTTTGGTTATTTTTTTTTATTTTTATTATTTTGGTTATTTTATTTTAATTTCTATTATTTTTATTATTTTGGTTATTTTTTTTTTTTTTTTTTTTTGTTCATACGTTCCATCAAAGAATTTAAAGAACAAATTTGTTAATACAAAGTAGCGCAAATAATTGAAAGTAAATAAACTCAATTTATTAATTCTTGTAATAACAAAATTTTTTGCACATTGATATAATATTGCATATTTATTTTTTAAATTTGTATGTACTAAATAATCTTCACTATTATATAATAATGTCTTAATTAAACACACATCGTGTTGTTTAAATAGCATTCTAATAATTAAAATTTGAATAATTTCGCTAAAAATATTGATATAATAATTAATTAAATTAAGTTCAAGAAATCCAATAATTCTAGAAATAATTTTTGATCCACTTATATGGAGAACATATGCTTGTGTTTTTTGAGAAAACATATTAAAGTAATGAAATAATAGAAAAGAAGAACACAACTGAATAAAATAAACCACTAAAAAAAAAAAAAAAAAAAAAAAATTAAAAAATAAGATATAGAATAGAAATTCTTAAAGATCAAATAAATTATATATTCTTCCTTTTTATATTTATTTATATACATATTTAAAAAATTTTTTTTATTGAGTTTTTTCATGAATGATTTTACCAAGAAATCTTAGAAGAATTGTCTGAAAAAAACCTAGTATACTTCTTGTATAATTATATCTCAAATATGTATATTTTAATAAATTAAATCCGTTTAGCAATAGTGTAGTTTTATTTAAAAGGAATATTCTTAAAGTTTTCATGGATAAAATTTCATAAATGTTTGACTTCGATTTCATAGAAACAAATTTTTTAATAAATCTCGGTGACTCTTTAATAAAATATACTATTTTCTTTCTGTTTATTTTGTTATTCTTTACATTTTCAAAAGCTTTACAACTATGAAATATTAAATTTACTTCATTTTTATAAAAACATTCATTACATACTCTTTTTCTCATGTGATTTCCTTTGCTAAATAAGACATTTAAGGGTATGTTGAAATTTTCATCATTTTTAAAACTCGATTTTACAAAAAATAAATTTATAAAAAATAAAATTAATGTAAATAAAAATAATTTGAAAATTTTCATTTTAAGAGGTTTTTGTTTTGTTTTTATAATGTTCTAAAAAATAAATATCCTGGTTTAATAATATATTTTTTTTTTTCTTCAAATACTTGTCTTTTTTTTTTTTTTTTTTTTTTTTTTTTTTTTTTTCTGGTGCAAAAAAAAGTGAGAAAAAGTTAATATAAATTGAAATAAAATAAAAGATAATATGATAACATAAAGTTAAACTAAAAAGAGTAATATAAAAAAAATTATAGAAAAATAAAGAATGTTTAATTATCCAAAAAATATATTCTAAATAAAAATATCCTATATAATTCATTCAAAAAAATAATAAAAATTAAACAAAAATATTTAAAAAAAAATACAAATAACAAAATAAAAATTTAATTATGTACATATATATATATTTTACGAAAAAAGGAAAAAATAGAAAAAATATTTTCACTGGATAATACAGATTAAAACTAGTATTTTCATAAAATAACATTAAATAAGAAAATTTAAACAATAATTTAACATATTGTTAGATTGATAATTTGCGTATTCTTAAAAAAAAATAAAATAAAAAAAAAATATACATATTATTTTTAAAAAATGACATATGCATACGATACATATTTTTAATGAAAGCTTAATCCTAATGTTAAAAATATTTTTATTGAACATTTAAAATTGCAAAAAAAAACAAAATAATATATTATTGTATATATATATATATATGTGTGTATGTATTTTTAAAATAAAAATACATTACAATTATTATTAAGAAAATAGGATATTTTATAATTTTTTTTTTTAAGTCAAATTTCATTACATTGTTCTTTATGTAAAAAAAGAAATAGGAAATAACAAAGAATACTCAAAAATTCATAAACATAATTTTAAAATTTCATTATTTTTCTTAATAAAAAAAAAAAAAATCTTTGAATTTTCCTTATAAAAGTTCTTTTTTAAAACTTAGCCTATTAAAAATTAAATATACTAGTTTTTTTTCTGAGCTAAATGATTAAATTATACATAAAAAATTATTCCTTTGTTTTAATTTTTTTTTTTTTTTTATATATATTTTAAATTGTTAAAAAAGATTAGAATTAGTCTATAATTAACATATTCAGTTTATATACATTTATAACAAATACATATATGATATAAAAAATTATGAACTTTAAAAAAAAAAAAAAAAAAAAAATATTATAAGAAACAAGTAAAAATAGTACATAAAAAAATGGGGGATATGAATAAAAAACATATTTTTTAGGAATATTTTTAATAATTTTTTTTTCTTCACAAATACTTTTCAAAAAAATATTTAAACTCATATATTGTAAAATAAAAAGGTATAATTCTTTTTTTGATCTTTTATTTTTATCTCTCTTTAGTACCTATTTCTTTTCTCACTTTTTGTTTATTTAATCAATTTACTATATATATGCATAAGGATGTAAAATTGCTAATCATCATTTTTTTGACGTTGAAATGTTTAAGAAAAAGAAGGCGTAAGAATCCAACATAAAAAAATTTGAGAAAATGAAAAAATATGAATTAAAATATTTATTCTCTTAATATTATAATTATTCAATAAATTTGAATTATCATGGATATACAAATGAATAGATTTAAAAATTTGTATCATTTGTACACTCACGGTTATATAAAAATAAAATTGAGTAAATCTATATGTTAAACTGTCATTCAAAAATAAAATAATATTATATATGCTAAAATTCAAAGTGAAATTATTATTTAAATTTTTAAATACATTATGTGAATTACTTGGTATGGATATTTTATTTGACTGTATTTTGTTGGTATTTTCATTATCTATACCAACAACAGATACATATATAAAATAAGTAAAATAGAAAAATATTTTTGTAATAATTAATGCACACATTATAACAAATTTGTAAGAAATAAAAGATAAAATGTGTAAAAAGGATAAGTTTATATCTCGACATACTAAAAGAAATAAAAATTTGATTATAATTGTTTCTAATAATATTAATATAAATACATATGAAGAAATATTAAATAAGTTGTCTGGTTTAAATATGAAGTTATTTTTTTGAGCTGTTACCGTTAAGGTATATAATAAAATATATGTGATAATTGACATTAAAGGGATATATAAATCAGCTTTAAATATACCAAAATTACTATAATCTACATAATTAATATCATTAGAATTATGTCTTATCATCATATTTATATTATTCATTTTCTTATCATTAAAATAAAATGCTTTATTTTCTGAATTCAATTCATTTTCGTTTTTTTTAATCATTATATCTTGATTTTTTAGTTTTAATTCATTATTATGTTTATTTAAATTAAATGCTGAATCAAAATTCTTATCTTTTTGAATTAACTCCATTTTCTTTTTTAGATGAGCATATACATAATATGTTCTAGATTCACATATAGCCTTACGTATATATATATATGGTATAAGAATAAATATAATTTTATTAATTACATAAGAATGTGTTACATCAAAGTATTGACGTAATAAAGATAATTTATTAAATAGAAAACTAGATTCATTTATTTCAATTTTTTTTTCTATTTCATTTATAACCATATTAGCAACTTTCTGTTTTACTAAATTATTTATTTCGTTTTTATTTTCTACATTATTTGTTAAGGTATCAAAAAAGTTTTGCATAATACCTTTATATTCTCCTTTATGACTACTATTATTAAAATAGTTATTATTTATATCATCATTTTTAAAAGGTTGTGAATTATTATGTAGTTTATTTATGTCATTTGTTTGTTTTAAATTATTCATAAATTGTAAATTATTTTCTTCAAAAGTATTTTTCTTTAATTCATCATTTAATGTCTCATTGGTATAATGTTTTTCATTTATTCTATCTAATTTATTATATGTATTTTTATTAAATCTAAAATTGCTATTATTATATTGATAATTATTATTATCATTATTTGTGTTTCTACTATTTAAAATTAAATTACTGTTATTAATTATATTATTTGTATTATTTAAATAATTAAAATTTTTATTATTCATTTCAGTATTATGATTTATATTATTAGAAAAATTATACACTTCTTTTTTTCTTTTATTATCAAAAATTGGGTGTGAATTGACATAATGAGATGGTGCACTTATATTATTTTTAATGTTATCATCAAAATTATTAAAATTCCTAACATAATAATTTCCTGATTTTAAATTATAATTATCTAAATTCATATGATCATTTTTCATGTTTGTATAAATATTATTATTATTAATACAACTTTCTATATAATTTTCATTTGGTACATCTATGTTTGTTTTATTAATTGTATTTATCTGATTATTTTTAATATAACTAATATTTTCCCACTGCTCATTTTTTTTTTGATTAGCATTATTTGCTTTTCTTCTATCATGAATATTGTAATCTATATAATTATTATTGTAATTCATTATTAACAAATATAAGTTAATAAAAAAAAAAATTAAAATGATAAATTAATTTGCATATGATCTTTTAATTAAAAATAAATTGTAATAATTAGAAATAATTATAAAAATAAACCAAAGAGTTTATTTCTTTGTTTCAACAAAAAAAAAAAAAAAAAAAAATATAATATTGAAAATATAATTTTGAACGAATATCTTAATTTTAACAGTATATATGAAAATAAATAAACTTATATATATATATATATATATATATATATATATTAATTTTAAAAATTAAAATAGCTTAAATAATATATAAATAACTTTTATTATGTAAATATTAATTATAAATTTTTTTTTTAAAAATTAACATAATTAAACATGCACATATATATATATAACATTTTTCTTCTAAATTTTCATTAAGTAATGTTAATAATTAGGATACTATACAAATTTAAATTATGCCAACTATGATAATAAATATAATAACTAGTAATAAAAGTAAAATAATAATATTTATGAAAATAATACTGTTACGTTCTTTTCTTCATGTAAATAGTTTTTAAATACAATTATTACATCAAAAAAAAAAAAAAAAAATTTTACTAAAAATCTTTTTTTTATTTTACACATTTAAATAAATAAATATTTACTTAATTTTTAACTTTTTATTTCTTTATTATTTTTTTTTTTTTTTTTATTCTTTTTTTTCTAATTAATTTTTTATATTATTTCACATAATTTCTTAGATTTTATTACTAATATATTTTCTTTTTATTTATTGTTGTCTTTATGCATTTTGTTCCACATATATTTCATTAACTTTTCTAAATTTTTATTATATTTTATTTTATTTTTTTTATCTATGTAAATATGTTACAAGTAAAAATATTTAGATTTTATCACATTTCGTAAAAATATATCTTCACAAAAATTTATCAAAAAAAAAAAATTTCAAACTAAAAGCACATTTTTTTTAAAAAAACATTTAAAATTAAAATATATATTAACGGTTTATTTAATTTATTCAAAGAAAATTTTGAGAAAGATTTTTTATATAAAATAGTATACAATTACAAAAAAAAAAAAAAAAAAAAAAAAAAAAAAAAATTTATTTTTTAATTTTTTAAAA